CCACTACCGCTACCGACAGACGACATCATGGACTTGCTAAACATTTGCCTAACGTCTACTTACTTTCAGTACAACGGTAAACACTACAAACAGTTACACGGCACTGCCATGGGGTCTCCAGTTTCTGTTGTTATAGCAGAAATTGTGATGCAGAACATCGAGGAACGCGCCCTTTCGACTTGCCGACAAACGATACCGCTTTGGTTACGTTACGTTGACGACACATTCACCGCCGTTCGACACGACGAAATTGACGCATTCCACAACCACCTTAACGAACAAAACACTGACATACAGTTTACCAGAGAAGTCGAAGAAAATGGCAAACTTCCTTTTCTAGACTGCCTGGTAAGCCACAACGACAACTCATTACGAACGACAGTTTACAGGAAACCGACACACACCGACAGATTACTAGACGAGTCATCCTACAACCCTACATCACACAAAGCCACAACTATCAGAACTCTAACACGACGCGCACAACTAGTATGTGACTCGACAGACAGCTTATCCGACGAGAACAAATACCTTCACCGTGTTTTTACGAAGAACAACTACAACAACGACTTCATCCGACGAAACACTCACCGACCCACTACCACTACCGAAACAAACGACACCGCAACCCCTACGACTACAGCAACCATACCGTACATAAAAGGCATGTCTGAAAACATCTCGCGCATCTTACTACCCTTCAATATCCGCGTCGCCCACAAACCCATCACCACACTACGTCAGTTACTAACCAACGTTAAAGACAAAGACGAACCGAGGAACAGACAGGGAACGATTTATAAGATCAATTGTTCCGACTGCCAAGCCTCCTACATCGGTGAGACTGGCAGAAACCTCACAACAAGACTGACTGAACACAGACGGGCGACGAGGAAAGGTGATGTCAGCAATCACATTGCTGAACACCATCGACTTACCAACCACAACATTGACTGGGACTCTGCGCAATGCCTAACCTACAGCACTGACTATTTTCAACGACTGACTCTGGAAAGCTGGTTTACTAACTTAGAACAGACTCCCCTAAACAGATGTCAACAACTACCCGCCCCATACAAACGACTCATTCACGACATAAACATCACAAACGACCGAAAAAGAACAACCTAGCTTTACCGACAGACCGAAACAGACCAATCACGAACGACTTACGTCACTTGAGTCTTACAGCCAATAACATCACGGCAAAACCAACCGATCATTTCACACGAACTGGAATAAGAACATTCTACTGACAACAATCACTCACTTGACTCTGATGATGACTTCCGCACAGGTTGTCGAAACGTCAGTCACTGCCACCGACAACAGTCCTTCTCAGGACTACACTCACCCGGACGATCAGACTACACCTTCACAAAAAATTCCAAAACATGCCAAAAATTGCATGCTAATGCAAATAAAAAAAAATATGTACACCAAAATTGCACACATGTGCACATAAGCTTGACAAGTCTACCTCATCAGTATGTATGAGCTAGGCTTGTTGTTTTTCTATGATTGACAGTTCATTGTTTAAAAGAGAATAGGCAACAATGTAAAAGCACTAAAATACTCCATGGCTACCAACACCGACATAATTGTAATATTTTGTTTCAATCACAGCTCAAACTGGCCTTTGTGATAGAATACGTATTACATACTGATGCAACTTGATATTTGGAATATATAAATGATTCATCATTTTCCAACAAAATTCCTTTATCAAAGTAGCTGTTTCTTAATTTGTAACACATCCCTTGCAACCGCTAGGAAATGTACATGGAAATGAAAAGTGCAGTTCTTAAGGAGAAGATAGGAAGACTGTGACATTACTTATTATTTACTGTCTGTTTTATGCTTTTAGTCATCAGAAAACCCTCAAAACATCAGCTTTCAAAATTTTCTCCTACAGTTTTTTAAGCCTATACCTTTAACAAGCTCCTGTTGTTAAGTATCTGAGCATAACTCAAAAAGCCTGTACTTATACCTCACTTTAATATGAACATTTTAACTGGATTTTTTCCCTTACAGTACACACACTCTCACTGGTTTCTCTAGGGTCACATAACAAAAGTATTCTGCTCAGGCAACATTGCAAAATCTATGATATCAGAGGGTAACAGTACAATGTTATTGGTGAATGTTGATTTACTATTGCTGTTGCACATTAAAAAGTGTAATTGAAGGTAGGATGAAGGTGGCATGAAATTTAAGTGATGAAGTATTTTGCACTTGAATTGTTTCCAAAATACTTCCTCTCCTTTCCTTGTTATACTATTAAAAAATTGCACTTTCAGACTAGTCCCATAGCAAACAGTTTAATTTGTTTCCCTTTGGATCACTACACTAGTTGCTTAACTTTTCTCTAAAAGAAATAGAAATAATTTTATACAACAGCTGTAAGGTTTAGGTCTCAAGACAAAGAAAAATAATAGAGAATACAAAAATATTAATGATAATAATAATAATAGTATCAGTAATAATAATAATAATAAGCATCTCTTTACATGAAGAATCCAAATTATAATAACAAGGGTTAACTTTAAACTTTACTAACCTTGGGTTTGAGTTCTCTGTTCAACATGTTCTTCTCCATAATCCATTAATGAATGAGACAATTGACCAACAGAAGTGCCCTTTAGGGCTAAAACAAATATCGGATCAGTTAATTACAGCCCCATCAACTAATTTCACTGATAAAAGAGGAAAGACCAAGGGAAGGTTTTGAAAAATATTGTGGCCCACTAGTGAGCTTTGAAAGACATACATGTAAGTGTGGCAGTCATTTGAAAATGAACCAGATTATTGGCATAATGTAATATCTTTGATATTACCTTCATAGAAATCATATTTATTCACTTCTCCTCTGAATTGTTTAGAACGATGATCACCAAAAACAGTAGAAGCTGGCCTCTTATCTCCAGTTGCAATAACTGGTCTACTTCTTAAACCTTATGGTGCAAAATAACAAATTAAACAATTAGAATAAGATTCCCCCACTACTGAATTTTTATCCACTGTAACTTCATTTTCTTCTATTTTTTCCATTCTTGTCTTCCTGTACAAATATGATGAGATCATCCCGAATCTACCAACTTTCTCAAAACAACCACATTTAGCATAATAATATTGCTTAAAGTGTTAGTACAGTGTAAATGTACAAGCATCTCCTATAAGAAAACATATACTGCAGTTACTACAGCATAGTACATCTGAAAAAGGAAGTGGAACCTCATTTACAAATGGAGGTTATAGTCCTCTTACATGCATGCAGTTCATAATTTTCTTTCCAATAATCCTTATGTTGGAGGATGAAAAATTTATGCAATTTTCATCAATTTTTTACTTTCTTGACATTTTTTAATCAAGTATTTATTTGCCTTTTCAGGCTTTGTAAGAAACGAGTTTGTTTTTTTTAATCAAGAGATTAGAGCCATTTCTTATTTTGTTTGCCTTGCTTATTAAAACAACAGAATAAAAAGAATGTAAAGAAACTTAAACTAGACATTTCACCAACCCTGAGTGTAACTGCTCTGTTGAACAGGTTTGTCTTGAGTCAAAGAGGCTGTAGGAAAAGGACTCTGTCCATATTCCATAAATGAGTGAGAGGAGTGACCACAAGAAGAGCATCCTAGAACTAAAACAAATATCACATCAGTTCATTACAAACCCTTCTATTGATTTCACATTAATTTTTGGAAAGACAAATAAAGGGATGGTTTGAAAAATATTGTGGTCTACTAGCGAGCTTTGCTGTGGCTGCCTCCCATAGACATAAAAAGAGGAGTTTTAAAACCCAGATCTTTGAAGTTTATTCACAAAGTCTTGAGATAACATTCTAGTGAAAATAAAAAGGTTAATCATGCAATTATCTAACCTCAAATAATCAAGCCAAATACTAAAGAAATGCTCTTACCTTTAGGTTGTATACTTTGAAGTTATAGATCCAACGGATCACAATTACAAACTAACTGGAACTGACTTAGCAAATACAGGTGAAAAGCAAAAGTAAAACAAAACAGTGGCTAGAAACAGAAAAAAGACGGGGTGGTCACTGAAGACTTGTATCGCTGGCTGAACTAATTGCACAGCGCTGCAGTTACACTTACAAAGCATGCAAGTTTGGGATACTTAAAAATGAGCAAAAAAATGGGCATCATTTAATATCCCAATATCACCTTCATAGTGATCAAAACGAAGTAGTCTTCCTCCCAATGGTTTAGAATGGTGATCCCCCAAAACAGTGGAAGGTGACCTCTTATCTCTAGTAGCAATAACAGGTCTGCCTTCTGAACCTACAGGTACAAAATAGAAAATCACAGAATTACATTTGAAGGATTGACTCCCCTTATGATTTAGCTCATAAGTTCTCTTTTCCAGGTACATGTATGCAGCTGTAACTGACTATAAACTTTTATAGTAAACAGAGTATGATTGAGGGTTGGGTGAAGTAACACAAAATTGTAGCAGTCACTCAGTTATGGTAGTAAACAGCAATTGGTTTCTTTCCACATCCTGTCCTCTAGCTACTTTCTTTGTTGTGCTATATAATACATCCCATTAACACTGGTCTTCAGGCAAACAGTTTCATTAATAGTAATTATGTTTCTCATTGGACCAGTTGCAAAGCGTTTTTTAAACAATTCTAAAAGAGATATAAAATAATTACAACTATACCAAAAAAATTGTAAAGTTTACGTCTCTGAGGACAATTAAAGCCTCAATAATAAAAGGAAATACAATATTCTAAATTAGTAATAATAATAATAATAAACATTGATTTACATGAAAAGTTCAAGTATAATAATAACTCTTCACCATAAATTTCACTCACTTTGATTGTGACTTTCCACTTGAACAAGTTTGTCTTGAGTGGCAGAGGTTGAAGGAAGAGGAAACTGTCCATCTTTCATAGAAAAATGAGATGACTGACCACCAGAGGAGCCTTTTAAAGCTGTAAGAGACACAGTCCTGTCACTTAATTACAATAATAAAAAAGGAAAGGCAAAGGGATGGTTTGGAAAAATATCAAGGGCTAGAAGTGAGCTTTAACAGGCCTGCAAGCTTGGGATTCATTTGAAAATAAACAAGATGACTGACATCAATTAATATCTTGATATTAACTTCATGGTGATCATAGTAAATCAGTTTTCCAGTGAATTGTCTGGAATGATCATCTCCTAAAACTAGAGAGGCTGGCCTCTCATCTCCTTAATTGGAATGATGGGTCTACTTTCTGAACCTTAAGATGCAAAATTACAAATTATGCCATTAGAATAAGGTTCTTTTAACATTTGGTGGCTATAAATTAGTAATTCACTTACTAATAGTTATCATATAATTTGTCTGTTTATACATTTTCTTTCTTAACCATGAAGAGTTCATCCTGAGGCACTCACACTTGCAAAAAACCACTACTGATGACCACTGATGTGCCTGCAGCTGTGATCATGAAGTCAAGACCCCTGGCCAAGAATAATTTCCTAAGCTTAGGGCACCCCACTGTTATCACAAAACAAAATAAATCTGTGACCGGGCACAGGATTTCGTACACTAACGCTTTTTCGTTAAACGGTTGAAAATAAACGGTTTGTAAACGGATAATAAACGGGTAGTAAGAGTGTTTAAACGGTTTGCATATCCATTTAAACGGATAATCCAAAGCGTTAAACGGTAGGGCAAAGTCCAAAAACGGATTCCGTCAACCGTGAAACGGCCGAGAAAAAAAATAAACGGATGGCTTAAAACGTTAAACGGTTGAACAGGATCTATTAATGGATAGCCTAAAACGTAAAATGGATGGACAAAACCCTTGAACGGATCAGGAGGGCTATAGAACAGCGGGATAAGCCATGCACGTAACTAACAGAAACCGTTGCGAACAATTATACGAATAATATTGTTCTTGCGGAACACTGACGTTTCATGCTAATATTATATTCGACTGACACCAGTAGAAAACGAAGTAAAATTAAATTACTAGCCTGCAATTAAGCTATCCACTGGCGAGTAAAGCGAGCCGAGAGCGAGTCTCGCACTGGAGAGCTCGCAATGCGTTTGAAAATTTGCATAAAATATAAGCAGAGGAAGCAATCTGTCAATCATACCATGCTCT